ACTCAGCATCACTAAAGGAAGAGAGAGAGTTGGGAAGTACTCCCTGGCTTTGGACTTAATCACATTGGTGACAAGTGCCCTTCAAAATCTTCTCTTCCCTGGGAGTTCTGGGTGGGCTAGGATAGCTGTCTCTGTTCTCTGATAAGCTTTATCCCCCAGTGTCCACCATGTCTCCACCGAGAAAACTTAATTAGGCACCTCTTCCAGAGAGATTCAACTTGGCTGTGCATTAGAATCACCTAGATAGCTTTACAAACTATCAAAGGCCACGGCCCACTCCCAGAGGTCCTGATTTAATTGGCCTGGGGAGAAGGATCCGGACGCCGGGACTTTTTACAAAGTTCCTCAGAGGATTCTCAAGTGCAGCCACGCTTGCCTAGTCATATCATGCAGCTTATTAAAAGAGCACCCGAGGGGCACCTGGCTGGCCCAGTCGGTTAAGTGTTCGACTTCAGCGCAGGTCATAATCTCACGGTTCATGGGTTTGAGCCCCACATCAGGCCCTGGGCTGACAGCTCAGAGCCTGTGTGTCCCTCTCTCTCTGTCCCTCTTTCTCTGAAAAAGAAATAAACATTTAAAAAAAGAGTACCCAGGGATTCTTTTCCTTGTCCTCTAAGAGTTCATCCTCTAACCAGGGGCATACTGGTTAACCCTGGTATCTGGGCGGAGATCCTGGGTGTCTGTGAGCTCCTTGGACATCGGGGCCTGAGGCTGTGAGGCACTTCAAAGTCAAGTTTAGAACTCACAGACTCCCCTCCCGAAGCCGCCCTTGGTTGAGTGTGCTTGTGTATGTGACTGTGTTATAGCAATAGTCCAGAGAGGTGAACTCAGAAGCCTTGACCCAGATCCAGACAGTTACACCCATGAGGGAGGTTGGCAGTGAGAGGTCCTGATGCTGTGCTGTGGGAAGGGTGGAGCTAGGGCTGGATCACAGAACAGAGGCCTCTTCTCAAGAGGCTGTCACTACTCAGCTTTGGCCAACATCACCGTCAAGGAATGTGGGCCTGGTCTCAGCTCATCTCCCTATTTTTTAAGAGACGTCAGAAATCTGGATTTTCTGCTAAATTACTTGATTTTACTGGGTTGGGCTCAATTTTATTTAGACACACACATGAAGTGGGAAGACAAAACACATCTACAGAATGGAATGGGACTCAGGCCCTCAGAACTAGAGGGAAGAGAAGACCAGCTCCTTGTGTTTTGGACTCATTGTGGACATTCCTCTCCTTGCCAGGGGCCTGGGGAGAGGTGCCATATGGTCTCCTGTCCATTGGCTGAGGCCCAGCCGTGTCTCCTGTTCAGAGGCTGCAGCTGGGAGCCGGGTCCTGGAGAGCGGGCCCGGCTGTCCTGCACATATCAACCACCAAGTAACCGTGTTCCTTGCTACCTGCTGCCCGTCTGGCTGCCACACAGTGAGGTGATGAAATCTTTGTTTCTTAGTGAAAGATGGCCCCCAAAGAAGCCAGCTGCTGGCAGGAGGGTTTGAAGAGAAAGCAAAGGAAAGAGGATGGCCTTTGTCCAGAAAGTGGCAATGTTAGATGGGGTAAAGCTCAGCTCTGTGGGAGGCTGTGCCCCCCATATGCTCTGTTCATAGACAGTTAGAAAGCAGTTAGCGGGACTGTCTCAGCAAGTGCCTCCAACAGAACCAGGTCATGGAGAGAAAGGCCGAACCTCAGAGAACGTGCCAAGGATGAGAGAGAGCTAGGGGCTGGGTTGTGATGAGCACTGGCTCTGGGGAGTGGTCAGAGGCTCCCGTGATGCCTGCACTGGCGTGTGTGTGTGTGTGTGTGTGTGTGTGTGTGTGTGTAGACAGTGCTAATACACTAGGAACCCTGGGGACATGACACACATCATAGGCAAACTGAACTAGTGCTTGAGGCAGGGTGGCAGCACAGTGGCTCTTGACCTGAGCCCATCTCACCAGGGCCTAGAAGCTCCTGCTTTGAGGATGGGACAGCAGGAAGTTCCCCCACCCAGAGATCCACCTCCCCCACCCCTGCTTTCTGTGTATGGCTCCCTCTCATTTCTTCCCAACTCTGCATCTCTGCACTGGTTTTCCTTCACCATTATCAGTCCTGGGCCCTTTCCGCTCCCCTCCCTGCTCTCTAGCCCTGCCCAACTCCTTTCTTCCCTCTGACTTCATTCCATGGCTTTGCTTCCTGTTACCTGTCTCCGGCTCAGAATGAGAGGTCCAGCAGGGCAGGGCCACATCCCCTCCTTCCTGTTCTGACAGTGCTGGGCACACTCCAATGTCCAACAATACCTGCGGAATGGCTAAGGGGGTGAAAGGGCCTGAGTTCCTGGAGGCTCATGGCCAGGTCCTTGGCTCTAGCAGGAATTCCTCCTCTCCCCCAGAGACTTTCCTTGCAGGTTCCATGGGCATCCCAGGTACAAGGGGGGCACTTCCACACACATCTCCACCTCGCGGGCCTTTGCTGAGACCACACATCTGGTCCAGGTCTGTGTGGGAACAACAGGCCCAGGCTCTACCACCCCAAGGCTCTCAGCCCACTGGGACAGCCAAGCCAGCGCTTAGGCAAGGGCCCTGGGAGCCAGGAGAGGCATCCTCAAGCCTGGGAGGCGAGGAGCAGACTCTCAGAGCAGGTAGAGGTTGGTAGGTGGTTTTAAGGAGGGCTTCCTGAAGGAGGGTGAATCTAAGCTGACCTTAGAGAAGGTAAAGCAAGGACAGGGAGAGTATTGCTGGGGTGAAGGAAATTACATAAGCAAGGCATGGGCAAGACAGGTGTCTTTAAGCTGGAAAGTTGGTGCTGAAACTAGGACCCTAGGAGTCAGGAGAGGAAGGATCCTTGTCCACTGGCCACCTGGTCTAGCCACTACAGTGTGTAGAGAAGGAAGTGGTTTACCCAAGGTCACAGCACATTAAGTCACAATGCTGGGACTCAAACCCAGGCCCCCTGACTCCTAAAACTGAGCCCAGCCTCTGCCCTGACATCAGAGCAAGGGAAGAACACTGACCCGGGTGGTAGGCTTAGCCGGTCTGATGCTTTCGGTCCATCCTCACCAAGGTTGTTTTTGCTGAAAAAACAGGTATGAGGAGTGCCTCCTCCTCCAGGAAGCCTTCCCTTCAGGCCCTTATCTTCCTACACCAGCTTTGTGATCTTCCTCTCCCTTTATTAGTCCGTAACATCTGTAAACATCTCCCCTGGAGGGACAGATCTGCCTGTGCTCTGGGTCCTCAGAGGTTGGCAATGTGCATGTTGGTGGCCTGTACTGCTGAGTGAATGCTGTGCCCGTCCTGGCCCAGACCTTGTCTTGAACTGGCTCCTGACCTGCTCGCAGCTCCAAGCCTGTCTCGGCTGCACACTCACCCTTCAGCCGTTTGCACCACTCCTCGATGATGACATGCACATCCAAAGTCACATCCAGTTCCACCTCTGGGTCCAGTTTGAAACTGTTATCCCGTAGGGTTCACCCTGCTTGACCCTGTGCTCCTTGCAGAGCCCACCCTTGGACACCCCCACCCCGGCATCGTCCAACCTGTTTTCCCACCGTGGGGACTAGCTTTGTGGGGACCCAGGCCCCAGACACATTCGTTCTTCCGGGGCAGGCCTTTGTAAAGTGACTCGGGTTTGGGCTCAAGTGGGAACGACAAGACGGAAGATGTGAGAAGAGCCTGGAGAGGGGTTCCCACTTCTGCCTTATGAGGGTCTGGGAACACACCAGCCAGGCTGATGAAGGACGCCCTCCCACGCCTCCCCACACAGCACTTAGTAAACAGCGGAAGGACTGAACAACACACTTTATTAGAAACGCTCCTCATTCATCAGTCAAATTCACATTAAAGTCGGGGGAGGCGGTGCCGTCTGGGGCTCTGGGATCCCACTGCGGTGACAATTTCCAGTTATAACGGAGTCTGGACAGAGCTCTGGGAGTGCAGGAGAGATGCCCGACAAGGGTGGTGGTGGCATCCCCAGGAGAGGACCAGGCTCGGGACCTGCACCCCTACGGGTCTGGGGCCGGCCCGTGCAGCCCCAGGCTGATAAATAAACAGCACATCGCACACACGCTTGAAACAGAAACAAACTCGTTCGTGTCTCCTAAAGTGAAAAAATAATTCGCTCAAATAAAGCTTTGTGACGGCTAGGTACATCCGAATGGACGGTTGCCTAGAGTCCCTCGGCACCCCAGGAAGGCTCCCCAGCCTGAGGCCATCATCCACTCGGGTGTCACGATGCCCCCACTTCCCCCATTAGCACCTTTGGACTACGTACTGCCCTCACCACATTCCTCTTTTAAAATGCCACCAGATGTAAGATAATAATAATCAAGGCTACACTCTGTCCCCGGGGTGAATTAGTCAGACTCAGCTTCCCCGAAGAGAGGTGCCCGGGGTAGCCAGGGAACTGTGGGTCAGCGGTGGGGACAGAGGGCACGTGAAAGGGTAAGTAAACAATGTGCAAAGAGGTAAGCTGGAAGGGGTCTACACACGGCTTTGTCCACTTGCCAATTCTGTCATCAGGCATCCCTGGGTAACAGTCTTTTGATGGAGCACAAAGTCCCGAGGTGTCAAGAGGGCGTCGGCACCAAGCTGCTTTCGTCCTTCATCATTCGGCCGCACTTTCCTCCCCGAGCTGGCCAGTCTCCCCCGGCCCTGTCTGCACCCGGGCACACCACAGCGAGCCTCCCGCCCAAATGTTTCATTCATTCTCGTGAATAAGGAGACACGCTCTCTGATCAATACCGGGGCTGCTGTGTCTTCTTGGTCGGGGGGGCAGGATCTCCGCTGGGCACAGGCTCCGGGCTCCTCATGGCTCCCAAGGAGGCGCCTGACTTACGAGGGCTGCCTCCAGGGTGGCAAATACTGTTGGCAAGGGACATTTCACTTTCAACGTTGGGAACGCGTCCTGGTCCTTTCCAAGAACGGAGTGTCCTGGCGCTCTGGGGCGAGGAGGAGGACGCCTTCCTGAATGTACTGTGTGACCGTGAAATGACAGGCCCAGGCCCTGCTGTGTGTGGGTCCCCACTGCTGCTCCTCAGCCTCACTGGTACTGCAGATAGTTTTTGAGAGATTGAGGCAGGGGCAGGGAGCCGATGTCCCGTAGGCGCTGGCGGCCCAGGGCCAAGCGGATGGATCTCCGGCAAAGGTCCATCAGCGGCAGGGGCTCAGCTGCAACGAGAGGAAAATGGATTAGTCTTGCCGCTGCCTTCACACACCTGCTCACCCCTGCCTACCATCTGCCCACCACAGGCGCACCTGCTCCTCTGATCTGGCCTCCAGGACTGGGACTCCTCCTCTGGGAAGGCTTCTTCGGTTATACTAGCTGGAGGCTTAGAGCAGGGGTTTTCAAACTGTGGGAAGCAACTGATTAAAGAATCCCGAAACCGGGGCGCCTGGGTGGCTCAGTTAGACTAAAGAATCCCGAAACTGGGGTGCCTGGGTGGCTCAGTTGGTTAAGTGTCGGACTTCGGCTCGGGTCATAACCTCACAGCGCATGAGTTCAAGCCCCACCTCGGGCTCCATGCTGACAGCTTGAAGCCTGAAGCCTGCTTCAGATC